GTTCTGCTGAAGTTCTGTTTAACTCATTTAAGACCTGCTAAGAACCAAATGATGTCCCGAGTTTAAAGAATAACTGTATATTTAGAAAGTCTCTCTAAAAGTGAGGTAATAAACATTATGTACGGCTGTAAATACATTTGGGTGTTCTTAGTCAGAGTATAAGAAATAGCCTCCATAGCTTCCGTGCAGTAAATGCTTTACTGGAGTTTTTCTTCCCCCCCCCAAAAAAAAAAAATTAATTAAAAATTAATTAGTAGTGGATGTGCATCTGAGCAGCAGAAAACGTGTACGACATATGCTTTACTGTGATATATTTGTATGAACAACTGTTCAAATTCAGCCTGACCTTAAGGCAAATATTCCTGTCTAGCAGGTACATGTTTTCACTGTTTTAGCAAACAGTCAGAATATGCTAGTGTACATGACGGTTTCATCTGATATCAGCCCACTCAGGATATCCTTTGAAACATTCAGGTTTAGGTTTCAAGCTTCTTACAGTTTAGAAGCAGCTTAGTCTCTGTTTCTTTGTCTTCCTGATGAGTTCAGGATCTGACATGGAAATTAAAAAACACACAGGTACGTCTCATATTTCTCCAGGTGTGTTTGGACTACTGGTTTATAGCAGTGAATACGATGTTTCTGAACTTCGTAACCACTTTTCGGCAGAACGTCTTTTTGCCTTGTGTTATTTAAGTACATTTGCATTCAGAGGGACTCTTATTTCTTGTGACTCATGTTTCCTCCACCTCTGTCTGGTGCTATGACTGTGAGAAAAGCTCTTTTATCTGTGTGTCATCAGGCTGTTGTGTTCATGAGTCTTAGTGGGTCATGAGATGAGCTGCTGTTTCATTTCCCACATAAAATAATCTAATATATCACAGCTTAGACAATTTTAACTGTCCAAACAGCCATATGCTTGTTGTTGACTCAGCTCTGTCTATGTAATGTAACATGTTTTATAGGGTTTGTGTAACGACAAATGCACTAAGTACACATAATTCCTCTTTGTTTATATCCACATAAACCTTGCAGCATTACACTCGTACATCTGTATTATATTTAAGCTGTACATTCATGAACTTTACCCATATGTCTGTTGTGGTTTGGGGAATTTAATTAACTTTAATTGAAGGAAAACAAGGAGTCTCTGTCTCTTGTGTGAAGCAGTTCATCCACTGCTACAAGTTAAATGGAAATACTCCACCTGCTGCTGCAGGCTGCATATGTAAAAACAGCACAATGAAAGAATAAGTTCCTGA